CCCTCACCCAAATTTCAAACCCTCAGAATTAAAATAGTACAAATTCATTTATTAATGGCTTCTCTTGATTGCCATGTGTCCAGCATCACAATTATCTACAATGACTGATTGTCCTCCTGTTAATGCTAATAATGGCCAATCTATAGTGATGTAAGAAAAGAGAAAGAGGACTATTTTGTTCCTCTGCACATATAATAAGGCTAACGAAGGGTACTTGGGGCTTACCATTTCCTCAGTCATAGCGTCAGAGAGATCCTTCTCTCTTGACCATCATTCAAGTGTCAACTAATGAATGGATTAAACTAAATATTTTCCACTTCAGAGCACTCAAAACATGCTAGAAGCACATGTTGAGTTCTGGTTCTGGATTCCTATTAAATACATCTGGTACCAGCACATAATTTTCTATTTGTAATGATCTTCCAAACTTCAAGCTGTGAATATGCACTCCATAAGAATACAGGAAGCACCAACATAGATATTCTCTACTTTTCAGAGCTTTTGCTTTTTGGTGAGAAAAGATGTCCTGAAAAGCTGTTTGGATGAGAGGAAATGATATTCTCAGTTATCACTGTGGAATAAACCAATCATTCATGAATTATTACAATCCCTGCAGCTGGAGAACCACAAACCATAAGAACCTCTTTTTAATCCAAGGTGAAAGTCAGTAAATAGTAGTTCATTTTTTATAACAAACACTTCAACAATTGAAACAAACCAGACATAAATTAACTGTGAATTATGATCAATATAAACTCTAAACTATATATTCAGTTGCAGATGCACCAAAGATGAATCTACAGATTACCAGACAGCCCAGTGCACACACGGCACTAATTTGAGCTACAAAATGCTTCAAAGCTCTGAACTTTCTCTGGTAGAAGGCCAGCTTATTTTCTTTGAGGATTTAGCCCGATCCCCAGGCGACAGCAGTACCTAACTGACACAAAACAAACACAAACATAAATCGTTGGAGAAACTCAGCAGGTTTGGCAGCAGCTGTAGAGAACAGAGTGAATGTTTCAAGTCCAGCAACACTTCTTCAGAACTCAGACCTGCTGAGCTTCTCCAGCCATTTTTGTTTGGTTTAGACCTCCAGCATCCATAGTTCTTTGTTTTATATTACCGAACTGAACCAGGTTTCATGAGTGCCGTATTCCCAAGAAAACACAGCTGCAGAATTTGCTCAGCTCTTATCATGTCTATTTTGATAGTGTGAATCCAGTAATGTTACATTCGAGTAACAGAAACAGCTGCAGCAAATGTCTATTTGTCTAGTCCCAACTTTTGGATGCAGCCTCCATATTTTTTAGCCTGCCCGTAGTGTATAGCTGGAATACAAACTTTAATAGCTTTGTGTTTGTTTATCAGGTTTCAGCTACGTTTCCCCAGAAACCTTAAGTTTCTGTTTCTGTTTTAGTTTGCTAGGAATCCTGAAAGATCAGTTTCTCTTTTCCGTTAAATGAAATTTCCATTTCAATTACAGTTATGGCCTGACTCAAGAACAGGTAAATGAATTGAATTAGCTTTATCGTCACATGTACTCTGATGAGTACAGTGAAAAGTATATATCTTGCCACTTGCTGCGCCATCTTGGGTACAACTTCTTCAGTTACAAGATTAGTTACAATGTAACAATGTCACCAACACATGGTGCCATCTTAGGTACAGAGTACCGAGGTACAATCCTTAGTTACAGAATAGAGAGATGAAGAAACAAAAGTTACATTACAGCAATACGCAGTACAATCTTAGGTCAGAAAAAGAAGAAACAAAGTTAAAAATCAGAATTCTATCATGGTATTTGTGCCCATTGCTGTAAGAAAATAAGCTGGAGTATTGCTACGTATGGTCCTCCAATAGGAGTACACATCCTGTGAGAAATAATAATCTACATATTAAAAACTATTACATAAAACACATTGTATAGATTAGTCGATTTTTGCCCAATTAATCTATGTCGGTATTTATGTTCTACTGAAGCTTCTTCTCATCTTTTATTATCTAAATCTATCACTTTTTATTATCTAAATCTACCATTGTAATCAGCTATTTTCTTTTCCTCATCTGCTTGGATAGATTCCTATTAAATACATCTTTATCTGCTCTTATTTAAAACAAACCACAGACATCTTAGAACCCAGAATAGTCTGAACCGAGCCAAAGGGCACCAAATGTATGTTTGTGTGTAGAGATCCTCGTTTGGATGATTTTGGGATATTAATCTGATTCATAGCTCAGTGGTAATTGTAAGTGACAGTTGTAACAAAACTCATTTGTAAATGTGCCTTAGGGGCACATTGACCCTTTTACTGCTTTACACATCTCATTGACTTTTAACACAATAACGTGACCTGACTATTTTGTATTTGTTACAGCTCATTTCAAGCTGAACTTAACATGCTTTTGGAACATTTAATATCACACAACAGAGTTAATTTATATCTCTGTGTGAGATTACCACTTTGAGCTGTAAATTAAAACCTTGGCTGGTAATAGTTAGGAACATAAGAAATGGGAATTGGACTAAGTCATTGAGCCCTTCGAACCCACTCCCAAAATTCAATGACTCAACTTTAACCTCAACTCCGTATTCCCACTCTATCCCTATGTTCCTTTTATATCCCCATAAATCCTGTACCATTATTTCATATGCCACCATTCCCGATGGCCTGTATTATTTATGTGGTGATTTATTTGATCTGCTTTAACCTTTACAGAACAGGTAACAAAGCCAACATCAACAAGAGCATAAATTGAACACATCCTGTGCACCATAGTTCTTTTCATGTAAACGGTCCTGCTAAACTAACCTCCATTCACTGGTCAAGCAAGTGTGACAAACATACACAACTGGCTGAATGGAAGAGTAAGAGAATTTTGTTTTAATCTTATTAGCTAGTTGGTGAAGGAAGGAATCTGAACAGTTTTAACCTGGAAGAAATTTATCGACAAAGTGAAACATTATGCCTACATACCTGCCCAGAAGAACCAATAACTGTCTTTTCGAATAGTTATTTGATGATGTAAAATCAATGCCGTTCAGTTGTATATTAATAACCTCAATTGATACAATTAACACAGTCAGGGCAGTGCCTTATTTTATAGTACTCAACCCATGCTCCATTATAATAAATGGAGTGATATTGGAGCCAGTTGGCTGAAACAGGCATCTTACAAAATAGAGCTCATTAATATAATCACTAATAACTCCAATCGTGTATTCAGAAGAAATCTGTTTACCTAGAGAGTAGTTAAAGTGTGGAACTAGTTGTTCATCGAGTGGCTGAGACAAATGGCATTTGTGCTACTTAGGCACATAAAGGAGAATGAAATACAGAAGTATGGATTGATTGTGTTGTTGGTTGAAGCGTGATGGGAGGAGGGATATGTTGAACATAACCACTGGCATGCACCTGATAGGCTGAATGGCCTGGTTGTTCTATAAATACTGTGTAAGTATAAACATTTGATTTTCTGAAAACCAAAACCAAAACCAACATTGTGCCTTTTGAATGCTCTGATTAATCTGGTGCTTTCAGAGGAAATCCTTTTATTGACTGCATAAAGTGAGTATTTACATACATAATCGTGACTGAGTAAATTAAAACGACCATCCCCAGTTTTAATATTAGATTGATCATGCGAACAGCAAGGGAGAAAAAGTTCAGTTTAAAAATAGAACACATTACATAATGTGCATGCTTATTTATTGAGTTTTGAAGAAATGGCTTTAAAATGAGTTATAGCACTAGCCATTTGGGTGAGTAGTACCTATTGTTTCACCAACACAGACCAATCGTCAAAGCCTATAAACAGCCACCATGGCAGAAATTCTATCTTTAGCCTGCTGAATAGATTAAGTACTCTAAGCAGGATAGTTCATCTATCGATCTCTCTCTCTTTAATTTTGCTAATGGTTGTGTTGCTGGATGCCCTTCCTACTACTGATCTTCCCCATTTTTTGGAGGCTTGAGACTGGCACTGATGTATACGGCTTGCCTGTTCCAGTGATTGGGTTCTTCTTTGTCCACAACTCTTGAGGCTGGATAGTCCAAGCCTAACGTGTGTGTGTGTGTGTGTGTGTGTGTGTGTGGATGGCTAGCCCACCAGCATCCCATCGACTGCCAAGGTCACCCTGATAATATGGAGAATGACTGACAGCTGAAATCATCAGTGACTTATTAGGATACAGTTTGACGTGGGCAGGCTATCCTTTTTCTTTAAAACAAATGTTGCGGTCAAAACACCAGGAAGGAAGTTGGTTACCATTTTCGGAAGAGGGGTGTTACCATTTTCGAGCGATGCTCTTCATACATCAGGGGTCACCCCAAGAGAATGGTTAACCTCCTTCCCCACCTGCCACGCCATTACCACGCCCTAATTGTCTGATTCCCTCCTTGCCCAATACCTCTGATTTGTCTCAGTGCCGGATCCATGGCCAGCCTCCTGGTTGGCCAACTTGTGCCAGCCGTACTCACTACCGGTGTGCCACTGCCGGAACTGCAAGGGCTGCCAACTGCTTGGATTGGCTAGCAGCTCTGAAGGGTATGACCTTCTTCCACTGAGTGCCGCAAATGCCACCTTCACCTTGTTCATGCCACCCTCAGTGTAATAGTGTGATTTTCTTCGGATGTTTTCTGACTGACTCTGTGGTTACGGGGTGAACAGCAGTCTGCCCCCAGCCTGTAGAGTGGGACTCTAACCTAGGGTATTCTGGCTCTGAGATAAGAGTAACTACTGCTTGAGCCGCAAGACTCCCAAAGTGCAAACTATCAGTTGAAAGTAAGATTCATCTAATTTATAGATTCAGACTAAAATATGTCTGAACTGCTATTTTTATTTGAGCTCTTCTTTGTGTTGCAAACATTTTAGTTATGTTTTAAGGTTAGGGTGAAAAGGTCTATAAGAATTCTCTGCACTTACTTGCATCTTTTACAATTCTTTTCTGTCTCTGCTCAATATCTGTTCTTCTCTTCCCATCCTTTTCTGCTGTTCAGGTTACAGACATGATGCAGAAAGCTCTCTTTGACTTCCTGAAGCACCGGTTTGATGGAAGGTGAGCATAATCCTCTCCTTTGTTTCTCTTCCTGTCCTTTATGACTTGTTGCCTTTTGACTGTGTCTGTATGGTCAACAATCTGGTTTTAAAATCATGCTGACCAATGTCTACAAGAAAGGTGTATATATTTACTTTTATAAAACCAATTTAAATTTGCACATTTAGAAAATTCCAGGCAACTGTCAAGTAAACTCTTAGTCCACAATAATTGACAAACAAAATACTTAGAGCCATAGAGACATGCAGCACGGAAACAGACCCCTTGGTCCAACCAGTCCATGCTGAACACAATCCCAAACTAAACTAGTCCCACCTGCCTGCCCCTGGCCCAAATCCCTCCAAACCTTTCCTAATCATGTACTTATCCAAATGCCTTTTAAATATTGTAAATGTACCCACATCGACCAGTTCCTCAGGAAGTTCATTCCACACTCAAACCACCCTCTGTGTAGAAAAAATTGCCCCTCATATATCTTTTTTAAATCTTTCTCCTCTCACCTTTAAAATGTGCCCTCTAGTCTTGAAATCTTCCATCCTAGGGAAAAGACACCCTACCATTAACAATGGAAAGAAAAACTGACCACTAGAAATTAGAAATAAAAATGCATTGCTATCTGTAGGCATTTAACATTTCAGATTGGGATTTTTGCCAGAACACTTGAGTGGAAATGTTGTTTGCTTCAGGCCTTTCTAACTAGGTGCTTATTGTGTCACAGAACTGACAGGTAAATTAAATACCTGTGACAATAATTGATCACAATTAGCAAAACTGCTTGACTGAACAAATATTGCTTGCTTGCTCTTTGTTATAGGATATCAATTACACGGGTGACAGCTGACATATCCTTGGCCAAGCGTTCAGTCCTAACTAATCCCAGTAAGAGGACAATAATGGAGCGTTCCAACACTCGGTCCAGTATAGGTATGATCTCAATTTGCTCCATTTATGTATGCAAGTTAATTTTAAAGGTTGTATCAATCACTTTCTGTGTTGTTTTCAATTCACTGGGCAATAAAGTAATGAAGCAGGTTTTTCACACAATACAATTGTTCAATTTTACTGAATATCGTTTTTACAAAAAAAACTTTCGTTCCTGTTGGTCTTTTCAACGATAAAGCGTGACAAAATGCATTCGTCATGAGATAGTAAGATGGTAGTTGACTTTCGGCTCTTTCAGTTCAAATGAATGGTCATTGACCTGAAACATTAACTCTTTTTCTCTCTCTACAGATACTGTCAGGCCTGCTGAATATTTCTAGCATTTTCCACTTCTATTTCACATTTTCAGCCTTTGCAATATTTTGCTTTGCTGATCGGCCCTCTTTTGTTTGTCCAAGCTGTTGATTCCCATTCTCTTAATTATTACTTTTTCCTGCCACCACTTCAATATTTATAAGGATGCCCAGGATAGGATTTGAATGTGCCGACAGAGTAATATGAATCAAATGTTCAGCAATACATTGTATATAGCACATAACGTAAAATTGGAGTTGCATTTTGCTGAGGTAAACAGGGTTGAGAGTCTATAGGAAAATATTTTTCAGGTAGATGATTTAGATTAGTTCATAGAATGTTGGCATTTTCAGTTTGGCCAGCATTTATTGCATATCCCTGACTAATCTTGAGCAGGTGATGCTGAGCTGCCTTCTGGAATTACCACAACCTGTATTTACAGGTACACCCACAGTGATTTTTAGAAGGGAACTTCAGGGTTTTGACCCAGTGACTGTAAAGGAATGGCTGCACAGTTCCATGCCAATGTGATGTGTGCCGTGGTAGGGAGCTCGTAAGTTGTGGTGTTCCCGTGCATATATTGCCCTTGTCCTTCAAGAATAGCAAAGGTCATGGGTTTATAATTCATCTAGGAAGCCTTGTTGCGTTGCTGCAGTGCATCTCATAGATGGTACACACTGCTGTTACTTGGCATCAGTGGTGAAGGGAGTGAATGTTGAAGGCAGTGGGTAGGATTTCAAACATAATGTGGGCTGCTTTGTCCTGGATGCTACTGAGTTTCTTTAGTGTTGTTGGAACGGTGCTCATCAGGCCAGTAGAGAGTATTCCACCTTGTAAACATCAGATACTGCTGGTGAAATACACAACAGCTTTAGACTATATAGATGAAACTAGTATATGTACAGACCACAATCCTTCAATCTTCTTTGAAATATTTTGGGACAAGAACCTACAATTGTTTTGATGGAGTTTGTGTGTCCAGCCACATAATTTGGAAATCATTCATGGGCATGGAAAAGAAAATGTCATCACAGAGGCTTTATTAAGAGTGCACATACCAGTGACTATGAGTTTTGTAAAAATCATTGCTGTGTAACATTGTGTATAATTAATGTTAACATGCAATTACTTTTAGTATATCATTAGACTCAGTGATAAGATGACTTTTGATAAATAATAAAAAGGCCTCTTTAAGATTCATTTTCATTCTTCATTGGGGAAATGTGTGATGTAAACTGTGGGATTTATACGTATAATTTTAATCTTATTTGTTGGGAGTTTGGGTTTCTGGTCTTTTGAATTAGTAATGGTAGATTTTTGTGCGTCTGAAGTTTTGTAATTAACTTGTAAGTGTTTCTTTAGCCATGGTGGTTTCCTTGAATAGGTTTTTGAATGCTGAGTGAGTTTGTGCACAATAATGGACTTTTGTTCATTTAAAGTGTTTTGTGATGACCAAGGAAGGTAAATAGTAGAGGCTCCAGTTTTGTTGGAGAGTTCTGAAACTTTTTGTTATGGTTAAGAGAGTGCTATGGGTAAGAAAGGGAGGCCTTTAGTTTTGACTTTTGAGTGGGGTATCCTGTGAAGTCCTTGGAATAGGATGGCCATATGGAAAAGTACCCAAAGAAGGTAAGGATATACAGTGATTCAGAGATAGTAGGAACTGCAGATGCTGGAGAATCTGAGATAACAAGGTGTAGAGCTGAATAAACACAGCAGGCCAAGCAGCATCAGAGGAGCAGGAAGGCTGACGTTTCGGGCCTAGACCCTTCTTCAGAAATCTTTTCTGAAGAAGGGTCTAGGCCCG